AAAAAAAAAATTTGTTAAAATAGCATATTTTTGAATATGGTATCCATTTGCGCATAGAAGATAAGTCGTCGGGACAAATTTTTTTTTTCATTTTATAGTACATAAAATAAGCTTTAATTTGATATATGTTTAAAGGACGCAGTATTTCCGGAACATTTTCAAAAGTTCAGTTCAATAAGTTCTATTTTTTATACAATGTTTCAAGTTTTGAACGCTCCCTATATAAGCGGAAATTGTACCATTTTAATAAAAAGTATGTCAAATGAAAGATGTACTTATAATGTATTTATAAAAAAAAGTTTGTGCTGATATATACATTTTTCAAAAAGTTATAGCATTTTTAAGTTGAAAATTTAAAAACGAAAATCGAAAATTTTTACACAAAAATAGTGTTTTTTTAACTACGGCAGCCGTTTAAATGTAGAAGAAAAAGTGTCGGGACAAATTTTTTTTTTCATTTTATAGAACATAAAAAAAGCTTTAATTTGATATATGTTTAAAGGACGCAGTATTTTCGGAACATTTTCAAAAATTAAGTTGAAAAAGTTAATTTTTGTAAAAAAGTTTCTATATTAAATCCCCCCCAATGAGCAGGTTAAGTGATAGATTTTCAAAAAAATGATATAAAATGAAAGGTAAATATTTAAGGTTTTAGTATAAAAAAAAATTATATTAATTTTTTGATTTTTCAAAATAGTAAAATTAATACTTTCTCCGCTTCGCATCGAAGCTAAAAATAAACAAATTAGTTAAATAAATAATAATAAAACTTATTAAATTAAAATCGTAATTAATCTCATTAGTAAATTTTCTATAACTTAGAAGCAAAAGGTTATGCATTTTAATTCGCGTAATTTTAATATTTCTCGCTTGTTTTGTCCAAGTCTAAGCAATTCAATTTTCTTTTGACGTTTTCAAAGACTTCGATTTGTGCTGAAGATTTCTCGTTTTCCGTTACTAACCCGTTAGTAAGGGAAAACGCATATTGGGGTAGCTCTTTCAGAGCTGAATATGCAATTGGAAATTTATGACCATGTTCGGAGTTTTCAAGTTCTGGGATGAAGTGTTCATAACCTAGCGGTTTGGCAAATCCTATTGAGAAAATTTCGACATGAGTAATGAATTAGTATAACATAAGAAGACAATCGTGTCGAGAGCATCTACTACCGACTAACAGCGACCACGTCGTCTTGTGCTTACTTGTGGCTAAAGAATAAGTGATGGCCCATGTGATACCTTTGGCTATATTAACGAGTAATGGTTCGATGATAGCTCCCACTATAGGAGTTAATACTTTACCAATAATCAGTATAAGATAAACGAGCGATAATTTATCATCTGAATGATTTTTTTTGCCAGTGATAATGATTCCATAAACGTTCCCTGAATATTTCTGATCGTTTCGGATGATAACGTATTTGTGAATTCTTCGATTCGGTCAATTGAGTTGCTGACCAAGAGGAGAATTAATGCCAAAGGCTTATGAACAGTATATTTCTTAGGAAAATTTTGTATTAAATTAATATAGTGAATAAATAAAAAGTAATATTATTAAAAATAAAATAATAAATACTTGATATTTTGCTTACGGTACTTACAAAAATCATTTTTGACTATGCTTAGTGTCCACTAAATTGAATTAAAATTTCCAATATATTCTTCAAGCATAAATCGTAAAAAGTTCCTTCTTAAAATAATACTTTTTTGACGTGCACAAAGAGATTATAAAGAATTTTCTTAGTTAAAAATACATTATCCACCACCAATCATAACCCAATCAATACTAGACATTTTCCAATTAATTGTTTGCAATAAAAGTAAGATTATTAATCAACTTTCTAATCATTAAACAACCATCAATTGTTAATCATGCAATTTCTTATTAGTGAAATGGCGTAAATACACCGGTAAGTCAATGTTTAGTAAATGTTACTCTGACACGCGCAAAGAGTATGTTACCCATGAAATAGTCAGAATAAATTTTTGTTGAACTTAAAATTAAAAGTCATAGATCTTCAATTAATCGTCCCAAAATACCACTTTCTCATATATATAGTAAACTCAAAATGAAATACATAAATTAATTAGATGAAGGTGTATGAGCATGAGAATGATTGAGTTATTATGTTCTCATTGAATAAAATGATATAATATAATTTTCTCACGGGGTAGAGAACGAGGGATTTATGGTAAGATGTAAAATATAGAGAAAAAAGTGATGCTTGAAAATTTATTGATATAGTAATAGTTTGACATAGAAATTATTGTGATTACACATTATGTATCAAGAACGCCACTCGTACCAGTAGTTATCTAAGCTTGTACTGACTGTGAGCCGTGTCAATAATACCTTGAGTAAGAACCACACGTGGACTCTCTATCTTCTCAATAGAGTCTTTATTTTACACAGCTAATCCACTCAAAGATTAGAGTCTAATCATTAGACTAAACTGGTTCGTATGAAAAATTATTAAGCGAAATAAAAGTCAGCCGATGTAACAGTTTGCGTGACCTTGTATATGTAAAATATATGATTTGTCACAACTAAATAATTTCTTATAGTTATTACATTTGATTTTTATCATTGTATTTTTTATACACATTTTTCGAAATAGTTTAAAATATTTACATGAATAATATATATTTAATTTGATGTTTAATAGACAAATATATAGAAAATCATTATACTACAGTAAAACTCGTTTAAGACGCTCTCGCTTAAGACGCTGTTTTTCGTCGGTCCCTAGACATTTCCTATACTAGTCAATGTAAAAACCACCTGTTAAGACGCTCAGTTTTTCTCTGTCTAATCGGGTAAAACGCTCTTTTGTTCAGCATATTACGATAAATTTTAGTAGTTTTGTGAAATAAAAATAAATTTTTAGTATTATACGTGTTCTTATCGTTTTATTTTATCGCTATACCTATTTTATCATTACTTATAATAACAGTTTTACTGTATTTCATCGTATTATGATATTTAGTAAGTGCTGTTCGTTCGCATGTGTATAACCGTCATTTTGTTATGGCTAGTGGTATAAAACGTAAAGCGCTATCGATTTCGGACAAACTTAACATTTTGAAGAAGTACGATGAAGGATTGGTTGAGAAAAAAAATCAAAAGGATATTGCTAATGAACTGGGGATACCTCCTTCTACTTTAAAAACTTTATTGAAAAACAGACATGAAATAGAACAAATCAGCCTGTTAGGTGGCAGCACCTAAAAATTAAAACACGGGAAGTATGAAATGTTGGAAAATGTTTTATTGGAGTGGTTTCAACAAGCTCGCAGTTTAAATTATCCAATAAATGGAGGTGTAATCACGAAAAAGGCAATGGAGATTGCCGCACGCCTTAACTTAACCGAATTTAGTGGAACGACTGGTTGACTGGATAGATTTCGGAGTAGGAATAGCATTGTGTACCGACCAAATTTCAACTAAAGTTAATGTTTTGGACTCCATACATTACATTAGTGTCGCTTGGGATGAAATTAAACCGATGTAATAATAAACTGTTTTCGGAAAGCTGCATATGGTGTGTTGAACAACTCCGAACAGGCAAATAGCTCACCTTTAAAAGAAGAGGACTTTCAACTTCTGCAAAATTTTGCTGATTATGCAACAATAGATCTCTGATACGAACTTAGTGAAGAATGAAAAAGAAGATGACGATCAAGAAGAAGAAGATCAAGACTTTCCAGTATCTACTCCTACAATTACTGTTAGTTTGCAACACCTATCAGAAATTCGAAAAGTATTATCCTTTGTTAAAAATTCCGAAAAAATGTTAGGTTGTCTTAATAAAATTGAAAACTTTCTTGCTGAAACGCATTGTCAGAACCTTAAACAATCAAAAATAGTTAATTTTTTCAATAAACAATGTATTTCCCATTAAATTATGTTTAATAATAAAAAAATAAACTCGATATTTCAATCACATCATTTTTTTTTTTATTCCCACATAAGACGCTTTCTCGTTTAAGAAATTCTAGGGAGCTAGTCCCTTAAAGAGCGTCTTAAGCCAGTTTTACTGTATTTATTTATTTTTTTTGTGTTCAGACAAATTACTTATTGTAATGTATAAATGAAAAGCATAAATATAATAATTTATAAAATCAAAATTAAATTAATGTTTTTTGTCTATAATTTATGAAAAATATATTAGTATTTTTTATTAACAGAAAAATGTAACAACAGTTTATTTAATTTTGTAAATATGTTAAAACTATGTCTAAAATTATGTTGTAATGATTTTTTCTCTTCAGCATATCTATATTAGGTTTTCACTCATAGTTTTTTGTAATTTTCTTCGACATGATTTTACTTAATTATGCTTTTTTGTTCATTTGTTTAGCTAAAATCTGTACGTGTGAGCAAATTAATCTAAAGAATATAACACTTGAAGTCACAAGAGAACATATAAATTACCACAAGACATTGTTACCTTTTGAACTAAAGAATGGTACTGTATATACTTGTGCTAAAGTTTCAGTCAAAAACTTCGAAGAAATCTACCTAAATTATGACATTGATAATCCTGTACCTTTGGATGAAGAATATCTATTCAGCTCCTCGTTTATCATATCGTACACCTGTTANCAGCTCCTCGTTTATCATACCGTACACCTGTTGTTGGAAGAACTTTACGACAAATTACGGATCAAGCTATACAAGAATTTAACGATCCAATGGAAGCCATAGTTTGGCTTAGAAATGATATTGAAAGCATTGGAATTACATTATTATTGCAATATAGTCAATTCACAGCAAATACGATGAATCGCATATCAAAAGAACACGAAAAGTTTAGTCATCATTTTAATGAGGCCTCTACATTTTTTAATTTTCTATCAGAAAAGTTTAAAGATTATCGTTTACGTATAAAAGCCATTGATGAAATAATTTCAATTTTTAATGAATACAACCAATCTCCAAAACTGGAAGAAGATAAACAGAAATTCTTTAAACATTGCTGGAGTTTTTTAGAGCGTTTTATAAGCCGTACATATTTGGTAAAAAAGCCACTTGATGCTATCATATTTAAAGTTTTAGATAGTATTGGTAGCTATAATATGTCTACATTAGAAGTTTCAAATGTCGATTTAGTACAATTTCATAACAATAAGCTAGATAGATTTTATTCTTACATAGAATTTAATGCAAAAATGTTAAAAGGTAAAAAGTAAAATACAATATAGAATTTTAATGTTAGATGATAGTGTGCTAATGTTCGTAAGAAAATGTTTCCACTATGCATATTGATAATTTTTATTCCATTAATAGATTTAGAAAATACTAGTGGATTAAATCTAAAAATATCTCAAGTTATTGGTTTATAACATATATTTTATGATAAAATTTTAATGAAATAATGATTATTTTTTTTTGTAATAAATTTTATCATTAAAATATGTATTTGCAATTATATATAATCATCAAAGTTTTCTATAAGGTTTTTTTAACTATATTGTATTTTTGTATACTAATTTATTTGAAAAAGATAACAGAAAAATTATAGCTTTTTTTTTTACCAAGAAATAAACGGTTTTGTTTATACTATTAATAATAAACCAATTAAACGTTAAATATTTTTATTTGTTACGAAATATAAACAATGCTAAAAATATAATACTAAATAATAATAAATATAATAAAAATATAATATTTTTAGCTAAAAACCTAAAATAATTTCGTAAAGAAACGTTTTAGAAATGTTTTAATAATTTTTTACACTCTTAAATGTAATTCTTTCCGTCTAAAAAATCATAAAAATACATATAGTATCAATACTCTCAACTGAATCGAATGAATCATCCAAAATAACTTTTTTTTATATATACACCTTATGTACTTCTTTTTTATTTAATATAAAATGTTTGAATATCTCACCCTTTATCTGCTCATAAGTTGATTTAAAAAGGGAAACTTTTGTACTAAAAGTTAATTTTTTCATCTTAACTTTTAAAAATATTCCAAGAAATACTGNGGTGATTTAAAACGGAAACTTTTGTACTAAAAGTTAATTTTTTCATCTTAACTTTTAAAAATATTCCAGAAATACTGTATCATAAACATATGTTTTAAATAAAAGTTTATGTTACGCACTATAAGTTTAAAAAAATATTGTCCTGATACCTTATCTTCTATGAATAAATGACTGTCAAAGTTAAACAAAAAAATGCAATTTTTATGTAAATATCATCGTCTAATGTATTCTATATTTTTCATTTGACATACTTATTTCTAATCGTCCATTTCCATTTTATACATATAACAAGTATAATTGTTTCAACTTAACTTCTATGTGCAAGTGACTGCCGTAGATAAATAACTTATTAATTTTGCATTGAATTTTTTTTTAAATTTTGTCTGTTTTCCAAAGTGAAGAAAAAAAAACGGTGTCCCTCTAAAAAAATTCAATGTGAAATAGTCTGTTTACACATTTTGTTTTTAATTTTACACCGTTATTACTTTTTAAAAAATGTACAACTAGACGATTTTAGCTTCGATGCGAAGCTGAGAAGGTATTAATTTTACCATGATGTGTTTTTTTTATTTTTTTGTCTGTTGCCACTTTTTCTCACCTCTCACTGGACCGATTTCTTTCAACAATACGTCAAAAGATCACAAATCGTACCTGATAGAAGACATTTTGTCATTCTTTTCACTTTTTTTTCTTAAANTACCCTTAAAAATTGATATATTTTGATATGGGGGAAATCTCCAAAAAAGTTACAAATTTAAAAATCGGTAAATTTTGTCATTCTTTTCGCTTTTTTTTCTTAAAACTTCCATAACTTTTTCAAAAAACAACAAATCAACATTATTTTTTTTATATTAAAAGTTTAGATATTTTTTTTTCATTTGATATCATTTTTTTTGAAAATGTAACACTTTACCTGCTCACTGGAAGGGGATTAAAATAGAAACTTTTATACAAAATCTAATTTTTTCAATTTAATTTTTGAAAATGTTTCGAAAATATTGCGTCCTTCAAACATATATCAAAATAAAGCATATTTTATGTACTAAAATAAAAAAAAAAAAATTGTCCCGACACTTTATCTTCTACATGTAAACGGCAGCCGTAGTTAAAAATTACATAAGGCATCAGGGATGAACTTAAAAAGTATTACATAGTTAATAATTCAATAATAATTTGTCTCACAGACCGCTACTTTCAGGTTCATTATGGCTCTTCAGACTCTAATATGGCAGGAATTGCGGCAGGTGTTCCGCAAGGCTTAATACTCTCCCCAATTCTTTACAATATTTATAAATCCGACCAACCGACCACACCCAACAGTTTAGTAGCAGACTATGCGGATGATAAAGTCATAATATCATCCAGTTCAGATCCTATCATAGCCTCCAAAAACCTACAAAATCATCTCTCACTTATGGAAGATTGGTACAAAAAGTGGCGATTTAAAATAAACCAAGCCAAATCAGTACATACTACATTCACACTTAAATTAGCACCATGTCCAGAGATATCAATTTTTGGCTCTCGGATTCCCCCATCTCCAAACGTTAAATACCTCGGGCTAACTATTGATCGCCGCATTACTTGAGCTCAACACATCAAATCCAAAACATCACAATTAAACTCCCGCTTACAAATACTCAAAACCCTAATCGTCAACAACAAACGCTTAAACCTAAATATTAAACTACTCCTTTACAAATCTCTCCTAAAGCCAATCTGGACGTACGGCTTACAGCTATGGGGCAACGCAAAAATAAAATACTAAGGAAAATTACCAATTGTCGACCATATGTGTCAAATCACTCTCTGCATAAAGATCTACGTATGAAAACAATTCAAGAAGAGGCAAAAAATTATTATAAACGTTTCCACCTACGCCTTAGCTCTCATCCAAACGAGCTCATAAAAAATCTATCTTCATTAACCCTCCTCGCCGCTTTAAACGTAAATGGTGCAGAGACCTACACAATCCATAAAAAAAAAAAAATATATATATATATAAATATGCGTATAAGAACAAAACAAAATAATTAAAAGACGAAAGTGTCATCGGTGGGTGTCTTCTTCATT